GCGCCCCGGCAGCGGCGGCAGGCCGCCGGGCTCGGGCGCTGCCCGGGCTGGAAGCAGCCACGCTTGTTCCTGTCCCCTTCCCTCGTCATCTCTGTTGGCCGCGGTTGGTTGGTTGGTTGGTTTTGCGCGGGGAGCATGAACACTGTCCGCTTAATGCAGCAGATGGTGCCGTGGAGTTTCCCCCCGCGGCGTGTCACAGGACCAACACACCCGAGATGAGCCTCCCTGGGGAAAGTAGCTCCATGATCTCGGGGCTCCTTGGTCTGACCTACCATGGATATTCCTATAGACGTGGCGGGAGGGGACAGGGACAAGTGACACACCTCAAAAAGCAAGGGTGGTAAGTACACAGCTAAAGGAGATAGTAAAAAAGCAGTCATAAGCCCCCCCCCTTTTCTAGGATTTAGTCCTTGGAGATAGGTAGAGCTACTTCTTTTTTTAAGAATTAACTAGCCCTACCCCCACGTAAGGTCTATTTTAGGAGAAAGTAAAGGAAACACCAGCTAAGTTTTATCGCACTTAAGCTTCTACCACGCTTACCCAAGATTTGCATTCACGTAAATGAATCCACCATTCATTTACCACCATTCTTGTATCACGTGGTGTCACAGTTACTGTCTCAATTTGTATTTTATTCCATGCAAAACTTCCAAAAAGCCGTGTGGAGGCAGCTGGGGAAGAGTTTCTCCTTACCCCCAAAATTTCGGATCTCATACTACCAGAGCGAGATTAGATAAACTAACAGCGCTATCTACACACTTATTTCAGGCATAGGGGTTTAGTTGTTTAATTCCATAGAGTTTTTAACTGATTTTCATGAACTAGGTAAAATAAGCAGAAGACTGAGCTAGTTGTTGAGCAGGAATACAGTAAGAGCGTTTGGGGAAATTTCGATGATAGACGCTTATGGAACGTGTGGAGTTAGGCAGCAGCTGACTAGTGGTTTTTAGTATCTACATTTTGAATCTCTGTGCCTAAGGTAGTCATCAGACAGCTGAGCTCATCTACAGCAGAGAGCAGGCAGCTGATCTGGCATCAAATGTGGAGCCATGCAGTCTGGCTGTGCTGTTTCTAGGCCTCAGATGGTATTGCCAGCACACTGCATCACGCTAGGCGGATTTATTGGCTGAAGTTGACCATAGCTCTGCAGTCTTGTCTCTGTGCAAAATTGTAGCGTGTAGATCAGCTCCAGATTCCCACCTGTGTTCTACTTAAGTTCCCCCTCAAGTCTACAAGGGCTATTGAAGCTGTTTGTATCCTACTGGAGGAGGATCAGGTTCAAGAGAAGACGTTTACGTTTAATTACTTGTCATATGATACTACGTATGTCAGTTGCTACAGCTGATCTTTGTATTTTCCTTCAGTGGATGCTTATGGGAAAGGAAGGATTAAAGACATAATGCTGGTAAAGAACATCAGAATGTATTTCTAGATTCCGGTATTTATTTCCAGAGGGTTTTTTTTTTCTGTGTCTCATCATCTGCATCCTTCTATAAATGCTAAGAATTACTAAGAACATAGGGGTAGGGTTGAGAATGAAGTAATCTTTTCCTCCATTCAAAGTCTAGATTGTTGAGTGGTAATGAAATAGAAACCATAGCTAGCCATTAGATCTGTCATTGCAGTTTCTGTGGTGAATTCTGTTGGGTGAACCGCTGACCAAAGTGCTTTGGAGAGTTGTTTTTTTCCCTTTTATCCAGCTCTTGTGAAAGAGCAGAGTATTATTTTACCTCCGGTGGTGATACGCTGCCACATAAATTATTACAGCACTCTGCTGGTATATTCCCCATTGCTATAAAGAGCTAACAATACGCAGACAAAGCAGATTATATTTGTCACAGTCTTACCAGTTTGCAATAAGAAATGCTTTAAAAGTGTGCAGACTAAGTAAGTACTGCTAGAGGTGTAGCTAAAAGGCTAGGTGTTCCACTACATAACAAAGAGGCTCTTTTAAACATGTGTAACGTACACTGTGTGAGAAATGGAGCTGTCATCATTTCCTTTCTGAAAAATGCAATTACCTTGCCTCACGTGTATGTAGGTGAAGCAGGAACATCTTGTGGCTGCAGACATTATAATGCAGGTAGTAACATAATGATAGTTGTTTAGATAGTTGCATCTACCTCTGGAGATGCAATTTCTGGACTACTACACAAGCAGGAACAGTAAGAACATGGCCAGGCCCTGCTATTTGGAGCTTCTGGCCTACATTTTTTACAGAGAGTGAAGCTTCAGACCAAGAAGTGCCAGTGAGGCTGTGAAGGGACACCACATACCTGTGCTGCCCAGTCTGTGAGGCAGAGGGATTCCTCACTCTTCACCTCTCCACCTAGCACTTCAACACAAAGGAAAGCTTAAAGGGAATTGGCCTAGCAGTGAGATTTTGGCTGTACACGCTTCTGTAGGCAAAGCAGATGTCTAGAACGGCTTGGCAAGCTCAACAGCTCCTTAGAGCTCAGTAAACATGTTTAATTTATACAAATAAATCTTTTTTGAGAGATGAGGAAAAAAAGCTCACAGGCTGGCCACATCTGGAGATAGAAAAATGAAAGTTATGTATGTTTCTTACATTCTGCCACCTCTTACCCATAGTTTTGAACTGAGCAGTTCCCAGCTGGGCAGCTGCAATCTCTCAACTCACAACGATAGTCATCACTCAGAATGGTGCAAAACAAAATGACCGCTTGTCCTGCATTCACCTGAAACTTTTGGTTCCCAATTCTTCCAAATCATTCATTCAGTGATGTGCTTTGCCCTTTGCCATGCTATCCCTGACAGAACTAAAACGAAAATTAGCTGCTTTTACTTTTTAATTGCTCTTCCCCTTTCCCATTCATGAACTACTCATTTCTGGTTTTTAGACTGCTGTACTGTGAAACACTGTAAAAAAAGGAAGATAGGGTGACAGATACGTCTCTGTGTGGAAATGACAGACATATAACAAGCACCTTTTCCAGGACTGGGATCAGACACATGCCCACTGTAAGCCTGAACCTCTGATGGGGGATAGCAGCAGTCATACGGTGAGAGAACACATTGGAGGCTGGACCTTCAATGCAATTTATCTGGCCAGGTAGTGGTACAGCAGCGTGAGTGACAAGGAAAGAATGGTAAAGATGGAGCAGTTCAAAGCCTGATGCCCTATCCAACTCACACGCAAAAGATTCACTACCTGTGCCTTAAAGATTATGCTTATTTTTTCCTACCTCCTGAAATTAAAGAACTTACCTCTTTCTTACAGCTATGCCCCCCCCCCCCCACCAGCACTTTCATGATAATATCTAATAATGAATCTCTCTAAATTTTCAGATGCTACAAGGCATAGCAATTTTGTCTTGGGAAGATTTCTTATTGTAGCTTTCATTACTCAATTACTATTATTGAATCCTTTGTGTGCAAGCACCCTTATGTTCAGTAGAGCTTACAGCCCTGCTAATAGCTCTGCTTGTTTCTAACAGTTACGCATACCAGAAGCTCTATCTTTCCATGCAAGCCCTTCAAAATTACATTTCTACTTCTGCCCACAGCTTACGTTGTGATTACAGCAGCACCACGGATTGCCCTAAGAATTTCACTCTTAGAGGTCAAGTTTCCAAACAAAGTTTATTTTAGTCATGAGTACCTCAAGAATTCTGAACTATATTTCAATTTCCTGAGATTTACTTTCTGTTTCTAAGACTTTAGGATGCATATCAGTTACATGTCCTATCTTTTTCTCACATCCATAAGAGCTAGGAATTTGCTTTAAAGAAAGCAACCTGTGTGTCTGCCATAATCACATGACACCAGGAATAGGGTGTCATAGCTTATAAGCTATGACAGCTTCCCACGTGATTTTTGCCCAGTCCTTCATGCTTGGGAAGCTCTCAGCCCAACAGATGTTCACAGGACAGTGTCCTTGCAGGGTGCTTTCCAATATACTGGCACAGCTGCAGAAGGTTCAAAGAAGAGGACAACTATACAGACAACCCTAAATAATACGCATCACAGGGAAAATCTAATCCCTTAGGAATGATTAAGAGAACAGGGCTGATTCTAAAAGGACAGGAAAGACCAGATGAATTAAGGGTCTTGTTCTGTGCAGTAGTACGTCCCTGTTAGCTGACGATAATTTTCTTCCAGTACTTGTACTATCTCTTTGCTAGTCTTCTTTTCTGTCACTACACGCCTACCAGACAGGAACATGTTTAGTGCTTTCATTAGGTCAGCAAAACCAAAACCAAAACCAAAAACAAACGGAAGACTGTCAGGAAGAATTAATGTTATCAGCCCTTGTCATTTCCATGCTACTGTGCCTGGTCTATTGAAAGAACATATGCTGAACTAGTTTTCACTTTGTTTTGTTTACATCAAACACAACCAATACAAACTGGCTCTGCAGAATGCACAGCAAGGAGGATAAATAATCTAACGTGTAAGAGGTGAGCACAAAAAAGCTCTCAGAAGCGGCTGCCTGTAGATTCTCTGTGCCTATGCTTTTATTAGAATCATAGCAAATATCTGCTAGGAAATACGAAGCTTGAAAAAGTAATGACACTTCAGTCTAGTAGGGAGGTTACAGAAAGAGGAAAGATATGACAAG